TGGCTGTTAGTTTGTTTTCCCAACAAACATTTATTACGCCCCAGGCAGGCTGCTTGGTGCTGGGGACCCAGCCATGAACAAGGCCAGCCGAGAATGAGAGAGCACAGCCCAGAGAAGCAGACAGATGCTAAACAAGCAATTACAAGCATGATGGATGCCACCAAGGAAAAGCAGAGAGCCCCCGGCAGGGGACGACAGGAGGATGCCAACAGTTCCCATGGTACGAGGTTTGGCAGCAGCCGTGCCCCAAGGGTGGTCCCCTTGCAGAGCAACCCCCTGGGGAGGGACACTTTCTCCTGAGCACACACCCAGGGAAGGGCACTGTGAGGTGTGAGGACCTCTTCAGAGGCCTGGGGGGGGGGGGGTTGGCAGGGGATAAATGCTTTCTAATCACTCGCCTCTTCTTGGGTGGGCTCCTTGCCCCCACCAGGCCACCCCCAGACCACCCCAGGCAGGTAGAGTTAGCCCCAGCATGCACATTACCAAAGCAAGGCCCAGGAAAGCGGTGCCAATCGAGGATTGGAACCCAGGCCTATCAGACTCCAGATCTCTAGGAAGGTCCCTAGAGATGATCTGCCTCCTGGGTGCCTGGTACATGGCCCTGCTGAGTGTGCTTACAGCAGCAGGGAATACAACCAGCATCCAAGGAGCCCATGTTACCCATTACCAGATGCCACCTGCACCTCACAAGGAAGCAATTTGGCGACATGTGGTAAAGCTCCGACATGGCAACGGGCAAGTGTTCAGACAGGTGCTTCCAACTGCCAAGCTGTGTGGCCTCAGGCAATCTGTCTAACCTCTCTGAACTACATTTCCCAACTGTACAGTGGAAAATATGTGAGGAGTTTCAGGTCTCTGGCATCCTGGTTTTGCCTCCTTTTCCATGCCTCTCCTCCAACCACCCTGGCTTCAGGCTCTTTTGCCGGGTCCTGTCCTTGCTCAATGGCTTTGACTAGGACCACCGGGAGGGAGGTAACTAACAAGCACACAGGGGCCGAGGCCAAACCTGTGCTTCTTGATGGCCCGTGGAGAAGGTCCCCCATTTCCCAGTGCTTCTGGTGGCAGGCTCCAGATCCAAACATTCTGCCCCTCGCCTGGCAGATGACGGGGCCCAGGCGGAGCATGTCCCTGTCCAGGCAAAGCTGCCATCTTTGACTGGATCATCGCCTAGGCCTCCTTGACCACAGGGAAGACTCTGGAGAGGAGGCAGTGAGTTCCCCTGGGCCTCCTTGCCAGTGCCCGGAGCTGGCAGGCAGCGGGAAGCCAGGCCCAGGCTTGGCAGGGCCTAGCAGGGGCTCAGTGCCCAGGGCCAGGGCCCTGCCAACCTCATTCCCCCAAACAGCTACCGATTGTCCCCGTGGCTCCCAAGGTCCCTGAAGCCCTCCCAGCAGCCACTCTCTCACGGGGATCCCCTCTCTCAAAGGGTCCTGCAGCCTGGCTGCTTCCGGCCACGACCAGGGAGGCTGGCCGGCCATGGTGGTCCCAGCCTCACGGGAGGCCCTTGGACTTCCGAGCCCTGCTGGGAGCTCTCAGCCTGGTGCTCAGCAAAGAGCAGGCGAGGACAGATCCCGGGGTGGGCCAGTCCTCGTGGCATTTGTATGCAGGTGCAGGCCCGGAACATGAGCTGGAATCCATCAACAGAAAATAAAACGCTCAGGGAGTGCAGCCCTGGAAGACAAACGGCCGCGGGGCGAAGGTAACGGCCACTGGCGCCTGCCGAGCGCACACTAGGTCTCAGGCCCACCCCAGGGGGATCATCCAAGCCTCCCAGCAGATGGGGGCGGGGGCTGTGGAACCTGCACTTCTCAGAAAGGGAGGAGGCCCAGGGATGGATGCCGCTTTCCCAAAGAAGGGAGCAGGCCTAACCCAGGCCCTGGCCCCAGAGGCGGGGCCTTGCCAAATCTGCCACTTTCCAAACCACCCCCGCCCCCAGAGGCTTTCAGAAGGGCTGTCCCAGGAGCAGAGTTTTCACGTCAAATTCTCATTTACCACCCCACCCACCTGGAGCAGCGGCCGAGTTCAGAACAGGGTGCATCCGAATAGGGTGCAGGGGGTTCCTAGAATCTCAGTCCAGGCCCTCCCAGACCTGCTGGGGTGGCCAGTGTGGTCTTTTCTACATGGTGCTACTTGATTCTGGGCTTGAGAGCCCTTGGTTAAGAGACAAGTTCATCTAAAAAGAACTGGCTTTTTATTTGTCAGGTGAAGAGACCCACAGATGAGCTGCCCGTGTGAGATCTAGAGGTGGCCATATAAACTGCCGTTTAGTTAGCACCTATTACGGGCTGGGTCAGAGTGCTTCAGGTCCCTCCACACAGCTCCCTGCCGAAGGTCACATTACACTTCCCATTGTACAGATGAGAACACCGAGGCACAGGGTGTTTAAGGTCCCTCGTACGAAGCTGCCCAGCTGGGCAATGGCAGCTGAACCCAGGTCGGGGCTCCAGAACCGGCTGCCCCAGCCCCATCCTGGAGTCCACAGTCCAAAGGGAAACAGATAAACATCTGAAGAATTCCTGGGAACAGGTACTTGGGGAGGGGGCATGAGTGGGCTGCAGAAGCCCAAAGGGGCCCCAAACCCAGAGAAGGGAGCTGATCAGAAAAGGCTTCTTAGGGGAGACCCTCGAGAACTGGGTTTTGACAGATGAGTAGGAGTTGGCTGGGCTGATGTGGCAAGAGCCGTGAACGTGGGGGAGAACCTGGTGACATAGAGGTCTTGGTGAAGTCCCGGCTAAGGAGCTGGACAGCACCTGAGGGGGTGCCGCTGAAGAGGGGGAGACACAGTTTTGCATTGACAGAGGCGATCTGGGACAGAGCCCGGCAGGTGGAGGCAGGGAGGCCTGGGGCTCTGGGAGCAGGTGGGATGCAGCTGGGCGGAGCCGCTGAGGACTTGGGCAGGGCAGGAGGACTGGTGTGGGGGGTCTCGAGAGGCAGGCAGAGGGGTGTGTGGAGATTCTGAAAACAGGCCCAACACAAGCACCGGGGAGCTGGACAGGCGGGGGGACAGCAAGTCCCTTTACAGGGACTTGTGTGGAGTCTGGGCTCCATGGGCACCGGCGGGGGAGGGGAGGCGGGTCCAGGAAGAAGTCAGAGACCTTCGTGCCTGAGGGTGGGCGAGGTCACCCTCTGACAGGCGAAGTGGGCAGAGGACACTCCGGGGTGGCATCTTCCAAGTTTCAGCCTTGGTTCCAAGCAGGTGCCCCTGAGGTCCTGTCACCATCACACCCACCCTCCCTCCTCTTCACATCTTCAAGGGGTGGTCAGGGGAGTGACCAGCCGTCCAGCTATCCTCTGAAGGTCACATCATTGTCTGGGGGAGGTCTGCCTTCTCTCTGGAGGATCCTTGAACTTACCAGGTGTCCCTACATGCTTGAGGCACTGAATGGGCACTAGGTCAGGTGGGTTCTGCGCAGTGGGCTCCCAGGACTTAGGCTTGGGGACAAGCCCCAGTACCTCTCCCACCCCACCCCTCTCCCACACGTGCAAGCCCTCATTCCTGGACTCCCCACGCCCTTTTTGCTGTCAGTGTGGCCTTGACCAGGGCACCCCCACACACACACCTTCTTCATCTGGTAAATAGACCCATCAGTGTTAGAATTTTTTGAGGAATAGGGTCTAAATGGCACACAGGGACAAAGTTCTCTGTATGTGAACTGGACGCCATGCACCTCCCTGCGAGGCGCACAGTCTTGGAGGAGCCCTGCAGGTCCACCTGTGCACCGTGGGGTCACAGTTGCATGCTCTCCTGTGGTGACTAAACATGCACAGTGCCCGGCTACAGGGGGGCACGCCTCAAAGTCCCCTATTTCTCTTCCCTTCTCCTGACTGTGGGGGTGGGTGCCGCGGCCCCACCTTCTCACCGCAGAGCACCCTGACCCTCTTCCAGGGCCAGCCCTACAGGGATGGCTGGACCCAGCTGGGCCCCCACCTCCTCGGCTGGGGCTGGAGCAGGGGAGCCAGGGAGTGGGAGGCCTGCAGGCCTGTGGTGTGAGATCCCAGCTGTTGGAGCTAGTGCCAGCAGCAAAAGGTATTTGCATCAGATAATGGGTAAAGTGTCTTGTTATTCCATTAACTGCGTAGCAGCGACTGCAGCAGAGGGAGGGAGCGTTGGAAACCCACGGGGCAGTCAGGGACTGAGATTGCTGACCACCAAGCGGCCTCTAGGCTTTCTGGGGGCCCAACAGCCCCAACAGGAGCGGCAGGGAGCCACGGATGGGCAGAAGGGTGTGGGGAAGGCTGGGCCTCATCCTAGACTCTCAGCTTCACAATAGGAACTCCAATGGGGGCAAAATCAAAAAGCACATCCTGGTACCACCAGCACCAGTGCCAACACCAGGATGTCCCCCGAAGGAACTCTGAGTTCCCAGGACTCTGGCTCTGATGACAGCCATGGTACTCAGCCTCCTGCATCAAGCTTTGGTGCTGTGCCCATGGGATGGGATGGGGGTTTGCATTCCAGAGGTGGTGAGTCACACTTGCACTTGACCTTGCTGGGCTTTCTATACAATGGGATGATACTACCACATTTGCTGCCAATAACAACCCCCCCAGAGTCCCTCTGCAGGTGCCAGAGATCCTGTAAAGAGCAAGACCAGCTGAAGTCCCTCTCTGGTGAAGTTTGCATTCCAGGGGAGGGAGCACATAAATAAATAAGAAGGTGATAAGAGCTATAAAATTTGGAAACAGGATAATGAGAGGCTGGGTGCAGGGGTGGGGTGCCAGGGACAGGGTTTAGAGGGAGAGGGAGAGCCATTCCCAGCAGGGGACATTGGAACCAAGGTTCAGGTGATGCCCATGGAAAAGCCCTGGGCATTGGACGTTGGACTTGGGGGCCTCCCTGGAGGAGGGGAAGGCCAATTCAGCTCCACAGCAGAGACCATCCAAGATGAGGATGGAGGGAGGGGAGCGCCCGCCGTGGAGCAGCACTGGCTGTAAGATCTGGGTTTGATTTTGAGCTTCCTGGCAGCCCCCAGCAGTTGGAAGCAGGCAGAGACACGATCTGATTTCAAATGTTCAAAGGCCTCCTGGTTGTTATGGGGGGATAGATGAGTTGCAGGGACCAGGGCGGGTGCAGGAGAGCCAGAGGATGCCCAGGCAGTGGTCAGTGGTCAGTGGTTGATAGGGGCTGGGCAGGGGAAGGTGGAACGCGTGGTGAGCCAGGGCTGGGCTTTGAAGGTGCTGTCAGCAGGACCAGGAATGAGAAGCAGCAAGGGGAAGGCAGGGACAGGCTGACAGGGTTAAAGGAGATGGCGTGTGCTGGCAGAGGGCTGATTTAGCACAGCACCTTGCCCATGGTAAGCGCTTTATAAACACTGCCTGTCGCACGGCAATCTGCACCAGGCACCTTCTGAAGGTTGCGGGATCAGCTCTGCAGATCATGAAGAATCAGTGGCCTTTCTGGCCCCAGGTTCCTGGGTTGATCTGAGGGGAGCATAGAGGACTCGTCACCCTAGAAGAGGTCTGGCAGTCATGTTGTCCAACCTGCGCAGTGACGGCACCTCGGGCAGGGACTTGCCCCAGATGGGCTGGTCAGGGGCAGAACCAGGACCTGAAACCAAGTTGCCTGACTTGCTGTAAAATTCTCTCTGGGATCCGTTGCTCCTGCCGTCCCCCATTGTGAGCCCAGGAGCACCTCCCTCTGCTTTTGACCCTCCCTGGACCCTATGGCAACAGTCACAGAGACTTTGCACTTGCTCTTCCCTCTTCCAGAACCTTCCTGTGACTGCTGCGGGTCACCTGGCCCCTCTCCTCACCCCAGCAGTCCGTCAGCTCTCCCAGCTGACCCCAGCATCCGGGGCCTGTGGGGCTTCCCAGCACCAGGCAGAGCTCGGCCATCCCCACATCTCCCTCCACAGCTGACTCCAAAGGCAGCTCCAGCCTTTTGCCAGTGGAGGCTGGCAGGGTGCCCAAGCCCCACTCTCTGGTGCCACGGGCCCCCCAGGCCCTCACTCCTGGTGGCCCAGACACACAGGAAGGAACCACCTTTCCTGTTGGGACCCAGCCCGGGCAGAATCCCCCTGTCTTCCTCCTCGTCCAGCTTGGGTATGAGTCAGGAATGTCCCATTAATACTTTTCCTTTTCCTCCTCCCCAGGAGCCAGCCCAGCGCTCCACGGCAGAGGAGGAGAGGTGGAGGCCATGGAGTGTGCCCCACCTGCCTCCTGCAGGGTCAGGTCACCAGGAGCCTCAAGCCAACAGGCATTTCTTCCCCCAGTGCCGGAGGGGTCTGGCCTTCGGCTGGCCCCAGACTCGGGATCTGGGCTTTATGCTTAACCCCAAAGCAGTCCGAGCCTCACTCAAGGCCAAGTTCAGACAAGAGGCAATCAGGGGCTTAAGTGGCTGCCAGAGAAGGCCAGCCGCCTGGTTATTAAATATTAAGTGGCAAAAGCCTGGGAACGTTTAATTGCAAATGAGACTCGGAAGCAGATGTTGCCAACAGCTTGGCCCGGCGCTCACGGTTGGGAGCGACAGGGGATTTCAAGTCACTGAGCCGGGCTGCTGGCAGCTTCCCGGCATTTACTGGGTACCTGCTGGGTGCCAGGCCTTGAACTGGAAGCCGCAGGTAGAAAGACTGGCCAAACCTTGGTGAGCTTCCAAGGGTTCTGCATCTGGTGAAAACCTAAGACAAGACAGGCAGACTGCCCAGCACAGGTAACCCCCCGGGGGGGGGGGGCGGATGGGAACCCAGGAAACACCTGTTGGGGAACCGAGTCTTCAGAGGGGAGATGAGCAGGCTCGAAAGGAGACAGTCAGTTAGTCACTCAGTGAACATTTATCCAACACCTGCTGTGTGCCAAATGTTGTGGATTCTGGGAAATGAAGTTTTACACAAGTCGAACGCTTTCTCTCATGGCATTTACTTACCATTGACTCGGAGCCTGCATGCCACCGCAAATGAAGGTTTGCACCATGAAGAAACGGCAAAGAGGAAAGAATCCCTGCAAAGTAGGGAGTTCAGTGTGGCCAGACACGTGTGGGAGGGAGGGAGGGTTGGAAAAGCCAGTCGTCATGAGCCTGAAAAACTGCCCTGCTGAAGAGTTTGGGTGAGTCCTGAGGGATTTCAAAATAAGTGGAATGACCTCCCTCAGGAGCCATCCATGGCTCCCAGCATCCTGGGAAAGGACATAATCTGGACTTTTAAGCTATCATTGCTTACTGAGAAGCTACTATTGCTTATTTAATAGTAGCTACTATTTAAGCTACTATTGCTTACTGAGAAGCAATACAGGAAGGAGACGCCTCTGTGGGCATCCAGGTGGAGGTGGCTGCCTGGTCAGCTGCCCATCCCCACCCCCACGCCCACGCCAGGTAGGGTTATTAGGGGAGGATGGAGGATCAGGGAAGAGCCAAGCTCCGCCCCTCCACTCTCCTCACACCTGCAACCTGTTCCACCAGCTCCTGAGCCGCTGCAAACATCCTGGGAACACAGGCGCCTTTGTGTTGGCTGGAATGCAGACCTGCCGAAGAGGGGGTGGGGGAAATGGGAGAGCCAAGACCCTGCAGGCCCCAGGTCCTTGCCCAGGGAGGGAAGATGCCCGTTCATCGTGCCCAAGAATGCCCCAACCCTGCTGGAGCCCGTGTGTGTGTGTGTGTGTGTGTGTGTGTGTGTGTATGTGTGTGTGTGTGGCACGCGTGCGCGGTGCGTGCCTGTGGGGCAGAGTGGGGGAGGTCCTGATGAACTTCCAAGGTCATGCCCTGGTCATGATTCTATATAAAGAAAGGCCAGCAAAGAGGGAGGGAAGAGAAGAAATGCCGTGAAGATGCCAAGACCCAGGAGGATGCAAGACCTTAAATATGGTTTTCAGGGTAGATGATAGGAGATGAGAACCTAGAATATTCTACAGACAAACACCCCCCACACACACCATGCTAAGATTCTAGAATCCTGTGATTCTGAGACTCTAACCTGATCAGGGAAGGCAAACATCACAGCCAGAACTTCCTCTTAATACCCTCCCTGCCTCTGGAGAGAACCCCACACCCATAACTCCAGAGCCAAGCAGCCTTGTTTACCCCATTTTTTGCCTTTAAATTGTCTTCTGGCTCCTCGGCGGCGTCTGCTCATCTGCACACACCCCTCCGCAGTCCCTCCTCCCTGCCTGGCAGCCAAACATTTGCCATCTGCATGTAACCCAGTGATTAGCACCGCAGAGCCGGAGAGGGAGGCTGGAACCCTGGCTGCTGCCAGTCAGTCGGCCTTAAGTCAACCAGGCTGCCGGGAGTCACCCGGCTCCCCAAAAGGGCCGAGCAGGGGAGGAGAGGCCACACACACACACAACGCACACGCACACACACCCAGCAAGGCACACAAAGAAAGCCCCCAGCGCACAGACACACAAAGACACGGAAAGACACGCAGCCACAGACAGACACCCCAGACAGCACACACCCACACGTGTGCAGAGCTCACGGGCAGACACACGCCGGTGTACACGGGCCTGGACAAACACACAGACACGCACGGCACACTTAATACACATCCACACACACAGGGACAGTCACAGGGCAGAACACACAGGGGCCTGCACCCAGTGATGAGCAGAGCGCACAGTGGCTTGCACGGACAGGCACATGCAGACACACCCAGCCCAGATATACACCTGGGGTCACAAGGGCCCTCACTCTCCCAGGGGGTGCATGGCACTGAGCTGTTGGCCTGCCCTCTACGCCCACCTCCCACTCCCACCCACCCGTGGGACATTATGTAGGGACCACTGTGCTCGCAGCCCGGTGCTGGGCCCTTGGGGAATCCTGGGCCTGTGACCCAGTGGGTGGAGATGGAGAGAGCTCAGCTAGGCCCTGGGGGCTCCGAGGCTGCCGGCGCACATGCAGGCACTGTCCGGAGACCAGAGCTGTACGAAACAGACTTTCCAGAAAGGTAGTGAGCTCCCCAGCACCGGGGGCCACCCAAGACCACCCAGGGTGTTGTAAATACTTGGTTCAGTGGGCACTGGGAGCATGGAAGCCCTGTAACATCCCTTCGGACCCCGAGATTCTCTATTTCTATCAATTCCACTGGGCTTCCAAATAGTGATTTTTTTTTTTCCAAAAATTTTTGTATCACCTTCTCTGTTAGTAGAAACACGTTCAACATGTTCCCCCAAAGTTAAATATAGGTGTTTATTTATAAATGCACTTATATGCGTTTTCGCTAAAACATAATGTATTTGATAAAAGATACGCAAAAATAGAAAAACTTGAAGTAATGAGACACACACACACATAGATCATTACCTTAAGGGACAAGTGGAAGGGCGGGAAAGCCATATCCCATTACTGAGTGCGTCCGTATGGCAGACTTCTGATATATATTATTCCTTTGAATCTTCAAAATAGCCCTGTAAAGAGGCTATCATGATTTTTCCATTTTCCTGATGAGAAACTGAATGACAATCGAGCCACCTGTAGCTGGCAGGGGTGGAATTGGAACCTGCATGGGCTGCTGGCTCCAGAGCCCACCGGGCCACCGTGATGCTCTCCCACCACGTGGGGACAGGATGGGGTTTGCATGAAGTCAGGGAAGGACCCATTTGTTTTTGGAGGTGATAGTTGCAAAGCCAGGGGCCTGCAGCTGAGGGGAGGGGCTGCATCATGTGTCAAGAGTGTTGAATGCTGGGTGCAGTGGCACACTCCATAATCCCAGAGGCTCGCAAGGCTGCGACAGGAGGATCCCAAGTTCAAGGCCAGCCTCAGCATCTTAGCAAGGTCCTAAGCAACTTAGTGAGACCCTGTCTCTAAACAAAATAGACAACAGGGCTCAGTGTATGGCTCAGTGGTTGAGTGCCCCTGGGTTCAATCCCTAGCACCCCCAAAAAGGAGATTTGATTGACAGCCTTGAAGCTGAGCAATGTGATCTCAGACCATTGGACTAGATGTGGCCATTTCTGTCCTTCAAATCATGGCTGTTCCAGGCGCTGTCCAGGCGGGGACCAGTGGCTTCGAGGTTCGTTATGGATACAGAGCTCTGCCCCCACTCATGACCCACTAAATCAGAATCTGCACGTAACAAGACAGAGTCTGAGGAGCCCCAGGTACCTTCTCGGCTGGTGTGGGCCCTACCCCGACCCGTGGGTGAGAAGTGGCCCGGCCTCGGTCATCTCAGGGCTCCTCGTCCCAGAGTTTGGCAGTTCCAGGGTCTTGGGGCGTTTGGGGTGGCTTCCTGGAATCTGTGCCTGCTGCTTGGCCTGGATGTCCTCGGCCGTCCACCCTGCAGTGGCCTCCGTCTTGCCTCAGTGAACGCCCGCTGCCCTGAGCCTTCCTCGCCTCTCCTTCCTCTCCCCCGTCCGCCCTCCCCCACCCTGTCTGTCCTAGCCTCCTGGCTGCCCCCTGTCCTTGAACTTGCCGGGGGTCTCGGAGCTGGCCGCTCCTTCCCCTGGGGTTTTCCTGCGGCCCTCCCTCTCGTTTCCTGACAACCCTTAACAGCTAGGACAGTTCCCCCCGAGAACGCTCTGGGGACAGGAACTGTGACTATCTCATTTCCAGCACTGGGCCGGGCCCTGGCCCATGGTAGGTGCTCAGTAAACGTCCGCTGGGGGAATGGAGGCCTGCCTGCCTCCCACCCAGGGCCTCTGTCTCCGCAGCACCCAGCTTATTGGAGCCTCTGGCAAAGGCAGAGGCTGTGGCACCCAGGCCTGGCTTCCTGGGGCCCCCATGAGGCCTGCTGGGGAGGCCTCACCTGCTCCCCCATCGTGCAGGGTGGGGCAGCATCCCCACTACCCTGAGACCCTCCGGCTCTCCCAGTCCCCCCTGGTAATCACCTTGGTTTCAGACCTTCCTGGAGACTCTTGACCCTAACTCCTGCCTAAATCCCAAGTCCATTCTGGAAGGCTGACCGTTTGCTGGAATCCGGGGAGAAGAACTGTCAGGAGATGGAACCCGGATGAACGTTCTCTCCTGAGGCCCTTCACCACGTCTCAGGCTGAGGTCTGGGGCCACGGTTTCTCTCTGGCCCTCAGTCTTTTTATCGATTCCATGGAGTCCCCGCTGCTCTCTTTCTGGAGAAGGAATGTCAGAGAGGAAGCTCTCAGGGTGGAATTCAGGCATAAACCAGCCCCGTGTTCCAGGCAGTTGGCACTGGGGTGGGAAGGACCTGGATGGGAGGAGGGAAAGGGATCTGGCATCAAAAGATCTAGATTCCCTGCCTGGCTTTGCCCCTGTTGGCTCACCTGTGCGAATGGGGAGAGGCCAGGGGAGGACGGAGCTTCAGCCAGGTGAGCCGGCACCTGAGCTCCACCTTCACACAGCCAGGCTGTGAGGCGGCCGGAGGGACAGGCCACCAGGCTCTGGAACCGAGGTCTGAGGGGGCTTCCCAGCCCACTCCCTCCTTGCCCCAGTGGCTGGGGCAGCACGGAGACCAGGGTGGCCACAGGCGACCGGGAGCCAGGGCCCCTGCTCATTGGAAGCTGCAGCAGAGAAAGTGGTATGTGTCCCACCGGGCTTTCCCTGAGGGCCAAGCCAGTTCCTGCCCAGGGACGGACACTTCCTCTTTGGAACAGGCAGAAGGCCAGCTGCGGAGTCTTGGACTCCTTGCCTGGAAAGGCAGCTGGGAGTTTGATGAGGACACCTGTTCCTTGAGGAAACCCAGGCCAAACCAGGCCCTTGGGACAAGATGGAGGAGCCTGAACCCGTTGATCAAGCTGCAGTGCCCTCATAGACAGAGCTGCTTCCTGCTCTGTCCATGAGCAGAGCCATGAGAGGAGACAACATGTGAGCAGAGACACAAAGGAAGAGTTGGAATGAGCTAGACAGATAGAAGGGGAAAGATGATTCCAGGCATAGGAAATGGCAAGTGCAAAGGCCCTGGGGTGGACACCCACCAGGAACGTACCCAGGAGGTAAGTATGGCTGCAGTGCAGTAAGCAAAAGGGAAGAAGCAGGAGGGGGCGGGGTCACATGGGACCCTGTGAGCTACATGGAGAATATGGTTTTCTTCA